TGGCACATTTCACTTTCGGTCCAAATTTTGATTTAACCCTAATAAGAGTCCCGTTCAACTTTTTTCAAAATTTTTTTTATATTCGGACTCAGCACGTCAAAATCTATATTTCTAGCTATCTCCCGATTTTTTTTTGACCAAATCCTATTTGGGACCTAAGAGCCGAACCTCGTAACTTTCGACCCCCGTAACTTTTTAGGGAAGGTGTCCACCGGAAATCTGTCTATCTCACAGTGCTCAGAATTCAATGGCGAATTTTTGTGGCTATTTAGAAGTTTAAAAATATGTGAAATGGAAAGTGTCCTTATTGCAACAGGTCCTTTTAGGAAAACTGTCTATCAAAATTTTCATAGCCAGGCCCAAAGACCATTAGTATCTCTATGTATGGTTGTAATCTAGAGCAACTAAAACTATTCAAATAGCTAGATATGTGCAGCACTGATAAGCTGTCCTACAAACCGACGGTCGATGAGGCTCTGAGTAAAATTCAAAAGTCATGTGGTGAACTACGCTGGCTTACTAAAGGAGACGCAGTTTCGGTTAAACGAAGGCGAATGTATTTGTTTTCGTAGCACTTTCGCCCAGCTGCTGATCAAAATAGTATTGCCAAAGAATTATCAGTGAATTATCATTGGTAATATCAGCGGCAAACTTTGGCTAAACACTTTTCCATTAGGTTATGGATGGTTTTGCATTATTCATTTTAATTATTATAACTAGTGAAACTGTATATGATATGACAAATGAATGGCTAAGTATATGGTCATCAAAATCTCATGACAATCAACAATCAACATATAATTTCGAATTGCGAAAATTTCGTAGAAATTTTGGTGAAGGATTTTAAGCCTCTTAAACTCTTCCTCTGGATGTTGGCTATTACATGGTCGTAAAGCACATGCCTGAAATTAGGTCCACACTGTCATTCCATCTTATTAGTCTAAATACATTTCTAGGTGGTAAAGTGCACTTACTGATTTCTTTATAGAACAGAAAATATGAGACAATGTAAAAATGTTTTTGTTATGTCTGATATTTTGAATAATGATACTTACTACTATCATAGTGGCATTATCGTTTGGGTGAGAATGTGTAATAGAATGATAAGAAGTAAAAATATGATTCTACTTTTCTCTCTGGTAGCCTGTCTTTTTTTCTTCAGTTTAATATCGTTTTTATTATTTCTCCGAACATTAACACGTTTATTAAATATATTGCTATATATAACTCATAGAGCCCTTTACTTTTCATTGTAATTCAATCGTCAAATTGACTCAATCGCATATAATAGTAAACTATAAATTTATTTATAAATTACTAACAAAAGACTATTTAGATAACACAGTCAGAAACAATCATTATAGTGTAGTTAAACATAGTCAAGCTGCACGTCTCACAGGATATTCTCTTTTAGAATAGTTTTAGAAAACAATAACTAACACTTGTTCTACAGAACCATAAATATTCCGAAACTAAAAATGAAATTTTATGCGATGACTCACTCTCATGCTGCGCCCGATACGAAGAACAAATAGTGAGAGCTCGATGGATCATATCTGTAATAACCGACCGTTTTATAGACTTCTAGCTAAAAATCTATTACATGTTTTTAGCCTAAAAGTATATGCTTTCAAAGAATGTCAACTTGATTCTTTTACCACTTTATAACTTCAAGTCTTAAGTTTCATCTCGATTTACTGCAAAGCGTCGATATTTTGCCTGTTTTTAAAATGAAATCCTTTGAACGCATCCAAAACTCAATCTTTGGGTCTGGAAACTTTTTCATACAATTAACTCGACATGTCCGAATCGATCCCTGAATTATATATTGAACATGTTCTTGTGGAAGCAAATGGGAATTCAATATTTGATGGACAAAAATAGTCAATAGTCTCTAAGAAATTAGAGACATCAATATTGGTCTAATAATACATAATAAAAAATTATTGATATACAGTAATTATACACAGTTTGTATTGATTGAATACTTGATTTGCTGTCTTAGATAGATGCAATATAACCGTGTTCGAATGTTTTAAATTTTTTGTTGAATTTTTATAAAACATCAAAATAATGAACTATGATCCTTTTTCTAAATAATTTGTAGTTAAATGTTCGTTGAGATTGTTTAACAAGACAAGTATATACACACGTAAAGAAAAAGATGATTGTTATAGTAAGATGTACAACAAGATGTAAAAGAGACTGTTTCATTAATACGAAAAAGTAAATGTCTAATCTATAAGACAGAATGAATACGTATATACAAAAAACACATGCAAAAAAAGTGAACAAAACCATAGAAAAACGTCTAACGAACACGAGTCCTCGTATTGAATGTTGTTGTTGAATTATTGTCAGTTGAATGTCTACTGTTGTTTAAAAATTTTTCAAGATTAAATTCTGTTATTTGTACGGTTACACCATCGAATGTGACACTTGTCGTGTGAGACGAAGAACTATTCGATGAGGATGAGGATGACGATGATACGGATGATAATGAAGATGGTTTGAATATTTTCCTAGAAACAACAAAAAAGAGTTTTTTCAGAAAGCCTCACTTAAACGTTGTTTAATATGACGGACTATTTAAAAAATGCTACATGAAATAGAAAGTAAATGAGAAATTATAATGAATACATTTTTTAGAAAGAATCCATATATTTCATGATTCCGCTAAAATTTGAGCGAACAATGGTCTAGTAGGAATACCATACAAGGACAAGATTCTATCAGATATAATTGTGCAATAAGCTAACTGTTCATCTTCTAATTTCAATTAGAGTTTACAATTTCACTATTGATCCGTTTGATACTATACAATTTTACCAGTCGATTATCAAGAAGTAAGTGCAGTCAAAGTTTATAGAAAGTATCACTGTATACTTTTGCTGTTGTAAAACTGGTTTCTTCTTTGAATCATTCGATGATCTATTATCATTCTGTTTGTGAAAATTTTGTTTTTGTTTTGTTTTTTGTTTTTGTGTTTTCATTTTCAAGTCATTGTTGTTATTATTATTTGACGATGATGTAGATTTAGAACGATGTTGTTGTTGTTGCTGTTGTTGTTGTTGCTGTTGTTGTTGTTGCTGTTGTTGTTGTTGCTGTTTTTTCTTGTCATTCGTTCGTTGTGTTGGTGAAGATGAACGAGCTGATCGATTCGTTGTGGTAGACGATGAAGATGAGATACTATTTTCTAAACCTCCATCCGTTTGATATTCATCATCTTCCTGCTCATGTTCATCCTGCAATTTACCACCATTAAAATAGAGTGACTATTTTTTATTGTTTGAAAGTCAATACCTCAGTTGTTGAGTGTTCATCTTCATCGGTTGTGTCATTGCCCATACCATTTTTTCGTTTTGATGTCTCAAATTGATTTGGCACAACTTTTGGTTTTCTAAAGTACAAACATAAAACATACATAATGTGTTAGTTAAGAGAAAAATAATTGTGCTTTTTTTACCGTGTTGCTGTTCCTTTTCTTGAATCACACATTTCACATCGAAATGCAACGCAAGGATTTTTAAATGTACATACCGTACAATCCCAAACAGCGTCATTTAAACTACCCCTTTGACGTTTAACCCTAAAAAAAAGTGCATCACAGTTAAGTATAAGAAGATAATTTCAAACAACAGTCCTGTACAAAATTTTATATAAATAATTTGCTTTTTGTTCGATCGTATTAACCAGAACAAATTCGAAAAGTGATTTTAATAACTGAAAGAGTTTTCAGTTGAGAGTGATTATTATGCAAGTTTCTGTAGTTTAAAATAACAATGTCAAGAAGAGCTCGTTTTGTCCATAAAAGTATTCTCTGTACGTTGACTGAGTTGTGTGCAAAAATTTTCCAGTTGAATTCAGAAACTTAGCTTCCTAAAGTTCTGGTTTTCTAGCGATCAAATTTTAATGAAATTCGCACACTAATCGTTCCCAACTGAAAATTTCGAATTTGTTCAGGTTAATACGATCGAATAAAAAACACATCATTTATATAATATTGCACAGAACTATATTATCTCCTACCATTATTGACAAAATTATTTAGTAAATAAACTTTAATACAAGTCGAATAATCAAATAATTTAAACGACTTACTTTCGATCACTCATATTTTTAATTTGTTAATTTATCTAATGGATTACCATAAGTAGTCCAAGAATCTTTAAATAAAATAATCTAGAAAAACAAAAATAAAAAAGTTTAATTTAACAAATTTATCTTAAAAACATTAAACTATATATTAAAATAGACGAAAGTTATTCAGGATGCTAAAAATGAACAACGTAAAGTTCTTTAGTCAAGAAATGTTCATATGACTGTGTTTTTTCGTTGAAATTGGGTAGTACAAAACTGGAAAATAAACGAATAGAGAGTAACAATACGAAGAAAAATGGCACTACTTGTATACACAATAAATTATACAAAAAAAAAGAATATCGTGATCCAGAGAGAAAAGAAAACAACATCACAATGTAAGCAAACTTAAATTTACTCTATTATTTTGCTTATTACGATTATGCATAATCACACAAAAAATGACGATTCAATCGATCTATTCACCAATCAATCATCATTATTTCTGGCTCGTTTTTCTCTGATAATTCGTTCTCGCTCATCTCTTTCACGTTCTTTTTGTCGGTCTTTCAGATTTTCTTTCAAATTTTGTAGACCTGTTGCCCAGTTACCAAAATATTCTTTTAATTGTTTTGGTGTATTTTGCATAGCTGTTGTAGACTGTATATTAGGTTTCCCGAATAAACCGAATTGTTTACAGGCACCGTCACAATAGGGTGCCTTTTGTGTCTGCTTACACATACATAAATCGACAATTTGTAATTTAGTTGGAATACATTTTACTGGTATAAAATCACCCTTCACTCTCTTACATGCTGTATCACAAAAGGGCTAAATAACAGAAAAATATAATGTGAATACAATAGCGATGATTGCAAGTGATCCAGTTCTACCAAATTTCGGATTGTTAAAACACTAACTCAAGCAAAGGTTAAAATAGCACTTAATGATTAAGAAAAAATAATACTGAACGTATGAACTGCCCTTCCCTAAACGATCTCTCGTTCAGAGATGGGCGAGTACGAGTATAGTCGAGTACAAAATTCCAAGTAATCATAATCATATTCCGAACCCCGTGTGTTCACCCATCTCTTATCTAGTTTATGAAAACAAAGATTAGTAAAGCACATAATAATCAAAAAATAAATTCTCTCCAGCTAATTAATCGGCTTGTCCAGCTAACGGTCGCCTTTTTTCGCTCATTTTCAAAAGATTATTGTAATAAAGCTACAAACTAATCTAAAATTGCAACTAGATAATTAAGTAGATTAAGCATTTCTCTACAAAATAAAAAGTATCTCGGCTCTGAACGTTGATTCATTATGTAAATACAGTTGTTGTGCAAACAGCCCCAAGAAAAACGAGAAGGCGGAAATTGAACAAATATACCAGTTTGTAGAAAATTGTTTGGTCTACAAAATATGATAGCTTTTTAAGTTCGAAACTATTCTAATTAATCTGTATTAAACAAAGAAAAACCAGAATGAAAAAAAAAACGGTCAAAAATGTCATAGTGTCGCGTTTTTTCTTTGATGAATACAGATTAATTAGAATAGTTTCGAACTTAAAAAGCTATCATACCTTGTAGACCAAACAGTTTTCTACATACTTGTTCAATTTTCGTCTCCTCGTCTTCACTCTTTTAGACACGTTTTTCCGATAGCTCTAAAATCGATTTTTGGGGCTATTTGTACAACAACTGTGTTTTCATAATGATCAATGTTCAGAGCCGAAACACTTTTCATTTTGTAGAGAAATGTTTAATCTACTTAATTATCTAGTTGCAATTTTTGATTAGTTTATAGCTTTATTGCAATAATTTTTTGAAAATGAGCGAAAAAAGGGGACCGTTAGCTAGACAAGCCGTAATTCAGTCATACTTTAAGCGTCACTCGTGTCTTCTAGTAAGCAACAGGTTTTTTTTCGGCAACTTGGAAAGCTTATTTACAAATATGTTTTTTTTTTCTAATTTTCATTTATTTACTTGTTCTTTACTGTAACCACATGAACACCAGTAGTATATTTTATCTTTTAACATTTCAATTCGAATGGGATCCCAACCAGCAATACGTGGTTTAATGTTCGGTTTTTTATAACGTGCATTTTTCATATCATTCATATAATCTTCAAATCCTTTAGCATTCTAAAAATTCAAAAGGAAAAAAGGTCTTTCTCATACAGAACAGAACAACAAAAAGAAAAGACGTCCGAGAATACTTTTATTGGGATTATACCACGTTTGCAGGTTAAGCAATTGGCGAATGCAGACAGTCTGGTATGATAGATTTCATCAGCAGGTAAAAGATCTGACCAAAAAACGTATGAAATTATTGTATTGTGATAAGTTTCAACATTACGAAGACTTTTGGGAACAAAAGACTAGACCACGAATGTTAAAAGTTACGGTTACTCCTCAACGTTTAAGTTTCAAGTTGTCCGTATTTATGCAAATTGAATTTTTGGCAGAGCTCTATGAAGTCAAAAGTTGACGATTTATTTAATCTTAAGCCTCCTTAGTAGATTGAAAACTTTTTAAACAAATTTCTGATGGTATTGGACTCAGGAAACATGAATGTAAGTTTAGCTTTTATCGGCATCAACTGCTTAGGAGGAAAATTATAAGTCACAGTTGCCTATTTAAAACAATAGGTTAAACTTCAAGCCAACAACAAATCTTGATATCAGCGTTTTTTGAATGTTTTGGTCAGTTAGTCTTATCTGCTGCTGATCCTACTCTATTGGAATTTAAGTTGAAACTTACATATCTTTGTGCAAGGTGTTACGGACGTCTTTTCTTGTCAAATTTGTACGCACACGTCTTTGAATTGTACGCCAAACTGGATCAGTTTGCGATAATACATTCAACAATGAGCGTCGTCGATACATAATCTTAAATAAAAAAAATATCTACAATACAGAATACAAGCAAATGATTAAATTCATTCTAGGAGAAAAGAAATGTAAATAATTTATTCTAGTTTAAATACTTCTTTCGAATGAACTGAATTTGAGAGAAATTTGTTAACTATCCGAATTTTTTGACTTATCATTATCTATTGAGGATAAAAACAGCTTATCAATTGAAGAATTTTTGGTAAAAGACTTACGTTGATAAAACCTCTTTACAGAGTAGATACTAGTAAATGCCCGGCTGGCTGGTTCAATAGAACAGAAAACAAAAGAATAACTTTTTAATCTCGAGTTTATATCAAAAAACAGTAAAGAAAGATCCGTGGCAACGATTTTACTTTACCGTGGCAAGGTAAAGTAAAACGGCGTTTTTTGTAATATCACATTTTCTCTGTTTCAAATGACAGATTTCGTATATCGTGTACATAATTAAAGATTATCCTCTATTTTTGTCTCATGTTCTTTACTTCTTTTGCGTCTGGCCATTTATTTAGAAAAGCGAACAAGTAGATATTCTGTTTTTATAATTAGTTATATCTGTAATTATATTTAGTTCTAAGAATCCAACACTCTAGAAAAGATGAGAATGACTTTTTCTTTTAAAAGAACCGATTTGATAATTTATTATTTTCATGTGTTTTTTTTACCGTGAATTTTTATTTTTTTCTTCACACTTTTATAGTTATAGAAAAGCAAGTCTTAGAAATGTGACTGGTTCTTACCAGGACCGTAAATAGAAGGTCAACTTTGAGGGACTGTAAAGTTTTTAATTCTTCGAACATCGAAAAATTTCTCTGGGGGCGGGTGTGTGTGAAAAAAAATTTTTTTATTTCCGCTAAGAGGAAATAATAAATTTTTATTTTTGGGGAGTGTACACGCTCCTTCGCTCTGGTTCTTACTACACGCGCAATGCTCGGCACTGCTTCACAAACTCAGATTTGATACTATTGATTTCCCTGGTTTTTATTTCATACTTCAAAACTAAAACAGGAAGTAGATCATTTCATGATGAAACTTTCCTTTGATTCTATTTCTCAAAACTTTTCTACGATAGAGAGCAGAATCTGATTACTTCTCTGATGAACAGTGATTATTCTTTTCGAATGCCCAGATAAGAGAAACACCTCGAAATGTTCATCCCACTTCCGCTAAATATAACATAACAGTGAAAATGCAAAATGTGACTTTTTCAAACATGACATTCGTTTCACTCCGTTGGTCAGTATTAACCAATGAAAGGTCGTATCACGAGAAATCTATTTTTTTTCTTAATATACTTAGTATAAGCGTGAATTTTGCCTATGACTTTTTACATTTTTATTACAGTAGAACGAACACGGATGTTCTCTAAATTCAGGAGTGGATTTCAATTGGCCAATCGCTCATGAGCAGCGAGACCGCTTTACTTTACTTCTAACAACATTAATGATATATATAGACAGAAGAACGTTGCATATAAAAATCTTAAAATATTTTTCTATAAAGAATTCTTTTTTCTTTAATTCATTTTTCTAATTTGTTCATACGTACTATGTACAGTGACACCGTTGTCAATGATAATCATAATAGGCTCCGTTGATGATTTTAGGTCGTTGAGACCATTATCGGGCCGCCGGCAGGGTAATTGCCCCTCCCGGGAAAAAATATCAAGGACAATAAGCAGTCAGTTATAGCCCAGTGAAGAGTTACATTTCGCAGCAGATTATCTGTCTGAAATTTAAAATAAAGAAATAGCAGTTCTTAATCGAAAAATTTGATGTACACTTTAAATGAAGGAAAAGTATGTTAGCACAGACAAAAATTATGAAGGCGAAGCACATTTGTGTATGCAATATCGTAAAAAGTTGATTGACCCCCCCCTCCCAAAAAAAAAACTTTTTTACCGGTCCGTCCATGGTTGAGACTCGGTCCTCTTAACCATTTGATCAATCGTCATCGAATACTAAGTTGCTATTGCTCGTTAAAGCGCACTACTATACGTTTTTGAAATGAGAAAAATACTGAATAAAGTAGAAAAGTATATATTCAAACCTAATGCACAATAATAATAGTAGTCACCTTTGACAAAAGAATAGAACAACGATAGTCAAGAGAAAAACGAAAACTAATACAATTGCATTCAAATTCAAATCGTTCATTGCATAAGACAAACATAAAATAATGTGCAATAATCAATAGTTTTATCATATGATGAAGAAAAAAGTGACTCATCACATTAAAAAAAACCGAATAAACAACACAGATAATAAATATATAGAAAAGAACGAAAAAACATAAAACTGTTTGCAACAATCATTTTTGTATTCGATATTTACAACGATGTCCCAAAGGCATCTTTAATTAATCGTCGCATAGCTAAACCAACAGACAAATTTTGTGGACCATCGAGACTGTAAGAAATCTAGAACAAAATAAAATAAAATAAAATAAAGCATACGTCATATCTATAAATTCTTCTTACTTTGAATAAATATGGTTGAATATCTACATAGTTTGTATCAAATACAAGATCAAGTTCGGATAAATGTGGTGGTTTTGGAACATAATCTGGACGATTAATAATTTCTGTTATTTGAAACACACGTTCACTTAAACTATCGGTCAATTTTTCACGCAAAAACTGTTTTTCTACAACAAAAAAAGAAGATAATGTCGAATTATCTCTTACTTTAACATACCATTTTCATTTGTAAGTTGCATTAATTCAATTTTTACTGTCCATATTTCCCATGGTACCGATTCAGGACTAAACCAACGTTGTTTTTTCTTTTGATAAAATTCAAGTGTAATCTGAATGAAAAGCAAAAAGATTCCAGCGTCTAAGATCATTTCTTAATCTTGAGCTAATGTACCTGACCAGCACGAGCACCATCCGACGATCGTAATGCGTCATGAAATTGACTTATTTTTTCTGCAACAGCACGTTGTAATTCTTGACTTGTCACATGTAACTAAAACAACACGATAAAAGAAAAAAAATATACAAATAACACCTACAAATGAGCAGTACTCTCTACTTACATATGTACAATCGACAAAATCACAATCAACATCTGTGTAGCCTAACGTACCGACAGAATAACTATCTTCACCCTTCGTATGATACTTGACAGAAGAAAAACAACGTAAACATAAAACTAGAAAAAAAAAAAGATTATTTTTTGACTTACTTTTCCAACACATCGATGAAATAGAATGGTGTGAAACATGCCTGAAAAAATAGGTTATTTTTTTCAGATAAATCGTTTTCTGTACGAGAAAATAGTGCTTACATGAGATGACTTCATCAATTTGTCTACCTTCAACAGCCTAAAACAAACAAATATTAAATGCCATAGCAATAGAACAGAAAAAAAAATCAACTGAATTCAAATAGAATTTATCGTCATGAAAAATGTTTCTAATTACTTACAAATTCAAATGTTTGTGATCTTGCATTCATTTTAATTACAAATCATTTAACTCTTGATTATATAGTATTATTATCTAAAAGATGGTATATTTCTTATAGCATAAACATTTCTATCATCTGATCATTCATAGTGAACAATGTTCAATGTATCTCGTACAGTTTTCATATCCCGATAGAACAAATACATCAACATTACTAAAATTAGGCCAACCGTTATACCAATTGCTAACATACTTAAAATGTATGATATAATTGAATAGCGCCCGGCGTGATGATATACATCATTTACTGCGTGATAATGATTATTATCATTCCTCGTTTCAACACCGCTGTCTAGATTTAAAGATTCATAACGATTTTTTGCTAAACAGCCGAAAATACATGCAGTCAAGCCTAAATAGAATGTAATTGAGATTAGTCATAATAACATTAGCCAAGACTGTACTCGACTACTCACCTATGGGTGGATTTATCAGAAAAGCAACAGCTGCTAATATTAAATTTGGATTTTTTTCTTGATTATTATTTGTTCGTATTTCAATGAGACGATGGCGCGTTTCATTTTCACCCAGCTCATGTTCAATAAGTAATTCTTTGGAATTTGTTTTGTTAATTGAATAACGCGCAACACGAAAAAAACGTTTTGGAAGCGATGGAGAAGGCAAAGAGGAAACGACTGATGTTTGTGAATAGACTCTCAATAATGGAGCAGATAATCGTTCATTCGATACAGACAATTCTAGATGATCAATTTCTTTTGTCGAATAATTTTCAGTAGTATTTCGTGTAATAAAAGATGTTTCAGACGTAGATGTATCACTGCTCACTATGGCACTTGTTAGCGACGAACGAAAACGTCGAATAAATGGACGTTGATGAGGACGTTTTTTCAAATTTAAATACATTGTAAAAAGTTAAAATTTATGAAGAATACAAACGAAATATATGAATTCAATATTTTAATTATTTCCTTAGCAACTCAATTTCTATCAATTAAAAATTGTTTGGCCTTTATTTAGTTGTATGTAGTGTTCAGTATATCTGAACATTATAATTGTAGTGTTCCTTCGTGCAACCAATCTCATAAGAATATATCGATATAGGAAGTAATATTCTCAAGATGCATGAGAAACGAACTGATCAGATTTTTGAAATGGCAAACAGTCTTCAAAAATATCATTGCGAATAGTTGTTGATATCTACCCACAAACTAACAACACAGTGTGTTGTTAGTTTATAAAGCTATAATGATATATTCGTATGAAGGCAGTACACTTACGTATATATTTAAATAGTCTTTACACGTGATCACTCACATGTTACTAGTTATACTATGCATAAATGTCGACCTTATTTTTAGTGTGACGCCCATCGACGGATTTGCGTCCACAGTTCCTGCAACACACACTACAACAGAGTATTATTAAAAAAAGACTAGTTTTTGTACAAAGTTTTATTTGAAAATGACATAATAATGTAACGTTTAATATTGACAATAACAATAATAAAAAAAAATCATGTAGTGCTCAATTTCTTCGTTAGTTGTTGTTTTTTCTTCAAAGTACATGCTTCTTCATACGGTGGATTAATTGGAGGTGCCACCGGTTCATGATATTCATACTGTTTTGTTTCACCTTCTAAATTTAATGGATATGTCTTATCTGAATCAAAACCATCTAAACTTCCACATGCTACAAACGGTATAATACACGCAGAATATAACGAAAATGAATTATTTACTAAATTTTTTTCAAAACTATAGGCAAATGGTTCAGCCATCGATGGTACAAGAAAATTATCGGGTATTTGAAATTGTCTACCAATGATAAATGCTTCCACAGATGAATTACGTGATGATCGTGGTTTTGCTATAGTGACATCACGAAAAAATAGTTTTAATTGTTGATAAAGTAAATCAATATTTTTTGTACGAAATATTTTTGATATAAAACTGCCGTTTGAACATAGACAATGTAAACATATGTTGAGAGCAGCTAATACTAAATTGCCTTGAATAAACTCATCAATATCATGTAATCCGGTTACATCTGGAGCACCATCACAAATAATTAAATCAGCTTTTAATGTTTCACCATTAGAACTTTTTAAAAGATCTAAAATTGTTTCAATTGTTGAACGTTTTGTTATATCTCCTTTGATTTGTTCAACTAAAATATAAGAATTATTTCTAAAAAAATTAGAAAAAAATTAATTTTCTACCTACCTCCTGCTAATGGTGCCATTGTTTGTAAATCAACAGCAATTATTTTAACATTATCTTCATCTAAATTTAAATTTTCGTTCATTTCCAATGATAAATCATTTATTGTTGTTGTCGTAGATCTTTTTGTTTTATATAATGTTCGAGATAGAACTTGTGACCAACTGCCCGGTGCCGCACATAAATCAATAACACGTTTAACATCATCATTTAGAATATTGAATTCATCGTGTATTTGTAACAGTTTAAATGCA